GAACACGCCCGGGTGCTGGTCGGGCAGATTGGTCATGACGAGTTTGGCCAGGTGGTGGGCGCCGGCCATGAGCTTGCCCTCCAGGGCGTGGACTAGCGTGTAGGGCACGCCCAGCGCGGCCAGCTGGGCGCGGACGCGAGCCAGCCGGTCGGTGGCGCGCGGCAGGGAGATGACGAAGATCTCGTCGAACACGTCTTCCAGGCGGCACAGGGTGCCCTCGGGAGGACACCCGGGCGCACGCCTCTGGCGGCTGACGTCGCCAGCGGTGGTGAGCAGCTCTTCGATTTTGATGAAGGGTGGATGGTGACCATCGTCTTCGAAGACCTTCCTGGTGGAGGCGCAGGGGGCGGAGCTGGCAGCGAGATGGACCCTGGGCAAAAAGGGTTGCTGCCAGGCTGGAGGGTCGAACTGCAGCAGCAGGAGGTAGGAGGTAGTGAAGGAGAGCGCTGCCACCATTGCCAGCATGGTGAGCTTGGAGAACCGGCGTCCAACCAAGTTCATTGTCAAAAGAGGCGCGTTCGTATCACCCTGCACTTCACCATATCACATATGCAACCTGGAGAAGGAGGGGGCACATTCCAGGCATACATTGTAACACATTCCAGGCATTCTTTACGTCTGGTTTTTGCACATCGGCCTGTTTGAAAGTGCTTGTTTGAAAGTGCATGGCAGTCTAAAACCAGACAAAAATGTAGCACATTCCAGGGCTAAAGAAATCTGGTGAAGTGCAGGAATGTAAAGAATGACTGAATGTGGATTGGCTACTACTGCACCAAGGGGTTGGTGCACATAGCTGCATTCCACAACAGACAGTTACATTCTTGGTTGTTCAAGTCACAACCCTCTATGGGATGTGACTGTTTGAGGGGGGGTGGGGGCAACAGTCAAGTGAGAACAGACAGTTTACATAGCAGCACAACACATACATTCATACACACACACAGATGGAACATGCAGATTGAGGAAGTGAACTGGCCAGCAGTGAAGAAGAGGGCCCACATCAGCAAGATTACCAAGGTACAAGCTCACATGCACTACTGCAAGACTGATCCTTCTCTATTCACTACAGGTGCACCACAAGTGGTGGTGGTGGTTGATGAAGGTGAGTAGAGTGCAGGGACAAGGGAAAGATAGTAGGTGGGGTTTGCTTGGTAGAGAAGGTGGCATGGAGTGCTGGGAGGAAAAGAGGGAGATGGAGCTGGTGCTGGCAGCTCCAAGCTCTGGAGGAGGAAGTTGTAGAGGGCTTGAGGAAGAGGAAAGTGATTGGATATATGCATGGTGAGGAAGGCACAAGCAGAGTGAACCATTTCACACTTCATCTGAGGGATGGGGATGTGGTGAAGGTAGCAGTGAGGCTCTGGAAGGGCAGTAATAGGGTGAGGGCGCCATGTGGATGCCAGAGGGACGTGGCGGTGGGAGAAGATGAGGACATTGAAGCTGCTGATGAAAGGGTCAGAAGTAGGAAGCTTGTTGCTGGTGAAGGAGGGGGAAGTGAAGGAAAAGTGGAGAAGATGGAAAACTTGGAGGTTCTTGTGATGCTGTGGGTGATGTTGGAGGGAGAAGAGCTGATGTAGAAGCCAATGCTGCAGGTAGTGGAAAGTTGTTCCACAGCATTGAAGATGTTGAGTGGATGATTGGCACCATGAATGGTGAAGTCATGGATGTAAACTGAAACCTGTATTGATATGTGAGTGGATAGATGAGAAAGAAGAACAATTGTGATGTGGGTCAGCAGATGTTGATGAATAAAACATCTGATGTGCATTGGAAGTTGTCAACAAATACAACTTCCAATGCACATTGGAAGTTGTTGACAAATACAACTTCTGATGCACATTGGACGTTGATGAAAAAACCAAATGGATAGGGAAGAGGAAGGATGAACTGGCCATGTGTGAAATTGAGGTTTGGCAAGTAGCTTGTGCAGCAGGCTGGTCATGTGAGGGCTGTATTTCTTATGCAGCTCCACCTGAGCCTTGTGGCGTTGCTTTGATGGTGACTCCTTGGGGGTGGCAGCTGCCTTACCCTTCATGGCTGCTACACAGGCACCACAAATATTTGTTTGCAATTAAAAAATGAGCAGAGAGCAAAGTAGGACAATATGCACTTGGTGGGGAGGTAGGCTCAACAACAACTGGAGTGGTAGGTGCAGCAGCTTTGGAAGAGGATGGCAGTGGAGAGAGAGAGAGAGAAAGAGACATGAGTAAAGTGGAAGAAAAGAGCATCAATAAGAGAAGTGTGCAGATATGCCTTTGGCCAAGGCTTCAAGAACAGTGGCAGGTGTTGCTGGAAGCTAGTAGATTCAGAATGGGGCAGCATGGACTTCTCCTCTGTGAGGGATGCAGCTTCAGCAGCAGTGAGCTCATGCTGCAGATCTTCACCCATTATCTACTTGGCTTGGTCATCAACAAGCTTACTGTGGAAGGGGTGGTTGTTGAAGCAGTCCATGACTTTGCAGGTGATCATGGCTGGCTTCTGGACATCAATGGTACAGCCATCAGGCATGATGTACTCACTGAGGCAGATGCATTTCCAGATCTGTGCCAGTTCCTTGAGGAGGCAGTAGTTGGCTTCTATTGCTGCTGCCTCTGCAGCCTGGAAGGCGTCCATCTGATACTCCAATGGGAAGTGATGAGGGACCAGAACCATTCTGGGGAAGTGGGGTACGTAGAGTGATGTTGGGCATAATGCTGGCAAGGCAAGAGAAGAGATGGATACTTTTGGCAGGTGCATTTTTGAGGATACTGATATGTGTCCTTGAATGCAGAGACACTCATACCTCAGACCATCCCTCACTGGTGTAGCCTTCAGCACCAGCCTGACCTGGCCAGTCCACACCTTCATAGCACTGCTCATTTGGATACCAGCAACCCCAAGGTGTCAGGAGCTGATGTTGCTGCCCACTGAACTGCACCAACAGTGGATTGAGGATGGCAAGGGCTTAATCAACCTTGCCAATGCAACCATGTTTGGTACGCCCAAGTCATTATGTGCTGATTCCACATCAACCATTGAATTATATGTCCTTGTATCCACACATCCCACTCATCCAATGCATATCAGATGGTCTTCTTGTGCATTTATTGCAATACTGACATGTCTCCTCCAATCCTGTTTTATGCAGCTCATCATTGGCCTGTTGACTACATGGGTTGAAACACTCTTCCAGAGCATGAAGGAATTGGGAATCTTCCACAGCCACAGCTTCCTCATTCACTGTCTCAACAAAGATGAACATGTTGACCCAAACAACACCAATGAAATTGGTAAGTTGTAATTTTGGCTGCTTGCAACATCTTGCTTACACCAACTTCCCTTGGTATCACAGAGGCTGTTGACTGCAACCATTGACTGATTGTTTGGTGCATGCTTGGCCTCAATGAATGGGAACATTTCCAGATTGTCAGCCAAGGTGGGACGACATGGATGTCAACCACCTGATACTCAATGTGCTCTCTCAGTCCATCCTCACCCACTACAAGCACACCCTTCCATCCAGCCTGGGCTACAGCATTTGGCACGCCAAACTTTGCTCTTCACTGCCTGTTTTTATGATGTTGTATTAACAACAAAATTGCTTGATCTCAGCAACCATGCAGAGGCAATATTGCATCTTTTCTGCTTCACTTACACTACCATTGTGCAATCAGGCAAGTACTTGGAGGAGCTCATCAAGCACTGGAAGACAGTGTGTGAACAAACTCTGGCCATTGAGAAGGCCATTGCTGATGCTGAGGAAGCAGAGTGCCATCTAACCTGTCCTGGGGCTGCTGCATCTCTCATGGATAAGGTGGTGCAGCTCAAGCACCTTGACCTGTCTCCACAAGATATCTACCTTGAAGTGGCAGACTACCATCAGCGCCCTGCAGTTTGACACATCCCCAAGGCCAAAGTCTTGACTGGAATGCAGATTGAGGATGAGGAGTGGTGTGTGAGTCTCTTGGCCCTGTGTGAGGAATGGGAGCTGTGGAAGGCTGGGCAGAGCATCTCCACCTCTTCTGGCCTTGCAACCTATGAGTATGATGTTCATGATGAGGATTTGGTACCATGTCTGTCCCTGCTGGAGTGTTACTGTTGTTTCCTTGACTTCTCATTCTTGTAGCTGACTTATCTTGTGCAGTGCCTGCAACTCCTCCCCCCATCCCTACTAAATTGAAGAAGACCTCAGCCAAGAAGGCTGAGGCACTCAAGAAGAAGAAGGTGGCCAAGAGGGACACTTCAGCATGAGTGGAGAGATTTGGAAGTGGTCTTCACACTCTCATGAATGTACACTGCCTTGAGCTTGAAAAGCAACTGGTGCAACATACTCTTTTTTGTGCATGCACCTGATCTGACATGTGTTGGATCACACAGTTATTTTTTATTTTCTATTTTATTCTATTTCATATATTTATGTTGTCATATTTCCACTTTCCTGTTCCTGTGCATCCTGCCAATCTGTGTCAGATCAGGTATTTCTTTTTTATTGTTAATTTTATTACACTTGTTTTTTCATGTTGCTTTTGATGTATGTCTGCTTTCCTGTTTATGTGCATGTGGACAATCCAATGTGTGTTGGATTAGTATGACTGATTTTTTCTCTTCTCCTGTGCAGGTCTCAATCTACATGCATGATCTTGGCATCAACCAGAATGACTACCTTCTTGATGTCAATGATGCAGCAACCTGACTTCACCACTTGTATGGCATTGGCATATGCATCACCAGCAACCCTTAACACCTCATGTCTGCCAGCAACCAGCGCACACATCACACCAACCTTGAGTACAAGCCCACACTCACCTTCCACTTCTCCAAGGTTGCCTACACCTCAGACCACCCAGCCCTCACATCAGTGGCTTCTTTGTTGTTCTCTTCTGCCATGCTGACTGCCCCTTCAACACCATCTGGGTTCCAAGCCCTCCTCCTGAGAGAGAGACATCTCAGATTGAACTTGTGGTCATTTGAAATGAGAGGTCCAGTCATTTTGAAAAGTGATTTTGTTTGTGAGTTTAAGCTCATAAAAATGGTTTTGATAACACAAAAATGGTTTTATTTTCACAATAACATGACAAAATTGGATGCATCTTGAGATATGGCAGATCAAAATTCCATCATAATGAGAGATGTGATACTGTAACTGGGCCAGCAGTCAAAGTCAAATTTGTTTGGTGTGGTTGGCATAATGTGAGGATTAGTGGGGTAGCCAGTGTTCTTTATTTTATTGGCCTGGTGGCGATTGTCATTGAGAACACACCTAGAGGAGGAAGTTTTTTTGATGAATTGGGAAGTGAACAAAGGAGTTTATTTTAAAAGTTGGAAAGATTGGAAAGACAAGTTTAGTATTCACTCCTATCCACATCAGAACCAGAGTGGAAAGGGGAAAGTGACCCAAGGTCAGGCAATTGGTCAATGTCAGAGTTGTGGCTTCTGTCCCTGCTCCAGCTCCTGCTCTGGCTCCTGCTCTTGTGGTGCTTGTGTTGTATTCCACAGCTGTGCTTGTGGCAGTCATTGTGGGCACTGCTGCATCTGTGGGTGTGGGTGTTGGTATCCTCATGATCTCAATGCTTTCTCTTGTGTGATGGTTCTGAGTGAGGGGTTGTGGAGAGCTGGGACTGCTGTTGATTTTGAGAGTCAGTGATGTATTTCATCACATACACATACACAACGAAAAAAGGGCATGGGTGAATGAAAACCTGTGTAGGGGTGCTAGGAGCTGATGCCGCAGAAGAATGGTGAAGGTCAAGAAGAAGTGGAGGTACTGGATGAGGTGAGTTGATGCGCCACTGTCCAGGCTGCTGTAGTCCAGGGTGTGATGTTGGATGGGTTGGAGTGAATGAGGATGCTGTCAATAGCACTTGTGATGATGTTGGTCTTGGTTTCATTTGGTTGCACAGAAGCTCTGTTGATGTGGTAGCTGAAGTTGAGATGGAAGCAGGCATGAAGTGGAGTAGCATGAAGTGGAGTGTAGTTGAGAACGCTTTGTGGTTTGGTGCTTGAGGTGTAGGCAGTGAGGACAAGCTGATAGAAGACATGACCTATTGTTGGTAGGAAAGCAGGTTAGAAGAGCATGTGCCACCAAGTTACATGAGCACAATACATACTCAGTTGATGCACTTGAGGACGATGAGGGAGGGCTTCTTGTAGGCCATGAGCTTGGGAATCTTGGCAATGTCCTGGACCAGCAGTGACTCTGGATTGAAGGTATAGGACTTGTTTGCTTGACTGATGAAGATGGTGTAGAGGCCTGCATGAGCATTGTGTACATGTATGCAATGAGTTGTCAGCATATTTCTAAAAAGGAGTAAGCTGTGGAAGGGGTAATGAAGAGCAATAAGTCATCACATACGCATACACAATGCAATGTACCATTGTGTTGGACCCCACTGGCACTCTTGGAGCAGATGTTGGGGATGCTCCCTGAGATGAGACACAGAAGCTGCCAGGGGCTATTCTCATTGGCAAGGAGGTTGAGAAGAGCTGCCATTTCCAGCACATTGGTTGTCAGGATGGCAGCAAAGCAGTCTGTGTGGTGAGACAGGTTAGTAATCAAACACATGAGCCTTGATTTGGAGAGCAGTCATACCATGTTGATTTGGATTGGTGTAACCCATCATCTGGTTCAGCCTGTGCTGATCCCAGTGGTGAGTGGATGCATCAATGGAGATGTTGCACAGGATGATGTTGACTAGCTTGGGATTTGTGTGAGTGACCTGGAGCTGTTTGATGCACTTGTGGAGGAGCTTCTGGTTGGATCTGGTTTTGTTGTGTGTTTGTGCTGGTTTGAAAGGTTCTTCTGCTGAGTTGGTGGATTTCCTCTTGCCTTTAGCCTTCGCTCTACGTTTCTCCTTTTCTTCAGCTTTCTCCTTCTCCTCTTTCTCCTTTTGAATCCTCTCTTGCAACTCTTGGATAACGTCTTCAATTTTGATGTGTGGATTGCTGAGGATCAGAAGAAGTTGCTCCTGGTCACAGGCAATGTGATGATCCTAATGTAAAGCAAGCAATTAGATTGGCATATGTTGACTGCAATTCATTGTGTATGTGTATGTGATAAAAATAATGGAGCATATATTGACTACAATTCATTGTGTATGTGTATGTGATGAAAGAACTATGCAAAAGGAGAACATACCCACTCTCCAGTAGCCACCTTGTTCTTGAGGTGGATGAAGTCCCTATCCATGAGGCGTGTAGCCACCTTTCTCACCTTGCTCAGGAACTTGACACGTCTCTGGCAGGCAATGAGGAGCTCCTTGAAGGCTGGAAGGGAGTACAGTCAGCACAATGGGATAGTTATAAGAAATACTGGTGGGGAGCATACTGTTCTTGCTGATCTTGTACTTGTTGCCCACTTGGATCTGCTTGTGCTGTTTGGTTGAGATGTGCTTGAGGACATGAAGCAGAATTGGATCAGAAATTGAGTGATTGTGAAGATAGAGGGGCGTGATTGGCATGGGTTCTTCAGATTCAGCATACAAATTCTCAAGGTATGTGGCACTCTTGGGCCAACCATTGATGTTGAGGAACTTCTTCATGATGCTGGTGTAGTTGCACAGATTTTCTTGTAGCTTCCTCTGTTCTGCCTTGTTGAGCTTCTGAGCCTCAGGCTGCATGAAATAGTGGAGTTAGAAAGTGTTTGGAAGTTTGTAATTGTCTGTCATGTATGCGTACATGACAAAATGTACCATTGAGCTGATGAGCTTCTTCCAGTCAATGGCTCACTCACCTCAAGTAGTGGTCCAGAACTTGTCAGTGCATAGGGTGTCACAGTACTGGAAGAAGTCCTCCCACTCATCCTTGTGAACTGCAGCCTTGTCATGCATGTGGTTCCAGCCCCATGTGAGGATGTGTCTTCTGAGACCTTGTTCTGGATATGGAGAAAGGGTATTTGTTGGACCAGGGACATCATCAAAGTGAGTTGGAAAAAGAAAAACGTACATTGACAATGTCACAACACCACTTGAAAGACTTCCCAGGGAAAAGCCACCATGCAGTCTGAATGTGATGATTGCTGTTGATGATGCAGTACTCAGGCATCCCATCTTTGAGGATGCACTGAGAGGGAGGCAGCTCTTGAACAAGCAGACACTCCATTGTCAGAATGCCCATCTTGTTCATTGACATTGAGAGAACTCTGCATCCTCTAGCAGTCACTAACTGATGAGTGCCACTCTTTGTCATTTGGTTGATGTTGATTGTTGCAGTGTTCATCTTCACATGATCCACACAGAGGACACCATAACACTTGAGGAGGGCCTCCTCTGGAGGCATGGAGAGCTCCTCTTCTGTGGGCTAGGAGGAGATGAATTAGCAAACATTCTATTGCATACATGTATGTGATAGAACGTCTGCAGTTGTGGTGCATAATTGGCTTCACAAACAG